AGACTTTCATATCTCAAGTACTGACCAACACATTCTCTTCATAAAAGCAGACAAGAACAGGTTTGGGTTTTTTTCTGTTAAGTTTATCTACACACTCAGGTATTCCCCAAATGCATGTTTAATAGCAGATGTATGGGCAAAAAGAAGAAGGGAAGACAGATAGCTAAGTTGCACTAAATTTTAGAATCAATAAGGCTGTCGTGTACTTTGTTCACTTCAGTCATGATGGAAGCAGGAAAATGTGCTCTAAAGTCAGTAAAGCCTCCTGAAAAGCATATCTAGGTTTTGTAAGACATAGAAAATACTAAGCCTTGCATAATTCACTTATTTAGCAAAACTTCAAGCCTTTAAGTCATCCTATAAAGGCTTTGCAAAGTAGTAATGTACATCCTTGTGACATATTTATCATATCCTCCTAGAAGTGTTGTGATACTGTCATTATAAGTAATTTCTAATTAGAATGTAAGAACAGATTATGCAGATATGTCTTTTTTCCCAGTATGGTTATGCAAGTCAAAAGTAGCTAAGTTCTCTGATGACATAATTAAGCAAGAACAAGTCACATCTGTGTCACTTTATCCACTTACAGACAGAGAATTTGGCCCAGATATTTCTGAAGCAGAATCTGCCATAAATGACTTAAGTAGCTTTCATACTTTTTTTCCTCTAGAATCTTTAAATATTGACATCAATATAGTAAGACTAAAACCTTCAGATTCTATTCTGGACTTGAACCAATTCACCACAACTATTAGGTGGTAGCACTTATATGCCCAGCCTGACCCAAGAGCTCTTCCTCCAGGTTTCTTGCTGCTGGAATGCTGCCTTCCCATCTGCCTGTCCATGCTCTTGAACTAAAATCTACTTTAAATATTTGCTTAAACCTCTTCAAGATGGCAAGATTGCTAAACATGGTCTATGTGACCTCTTCCTGAGAGCATGCTGTTCTACTGGAACATGTTCTTCAAAGGTGGTAACTTACGGCACATTTAATGTTTCGGAGAAATACTTTGGAAATCCACAAAAGCTACTTTCACTCCCTAAATGCAACTCAAAGTGAAGCTGCTATGGTCTTTGAGCAAGGAACATTCTTAACATTTTGTCCTTGGGTATAGGCTTAAGAATAGAGTTTGGAGGGCACAGAAAATGAAGGAAAGAGTAGCACTAATTGCCTGTAACTTTGAGGACTTCAACATTAACTTTTGCTTAGGCTTTCTTGCTATTGTTGCCACCTTAAAGCATAACAATAACAAACCTAATGTCCTAACAGTAAACAAGCGCTCCTACATCTAAGGTCAAATTCTCTGGTCGCTGAACTACATGGATATGGGAAGCATTGGATCCTAGGAAGAAAACACCAGCTAACTCAAATCAGGAAAATCAAGGAGCAGCAATACCAGGATATTTGCACCTTTTAAGACCTCCACAACCAGAGACCAGAACCAATACTGCCTCTAACTATTACCAAACAGTTCCTGGTCAGATTACTGAGCTAACAAGGGAAAGCATCACCCAGAGCCACCCTACTCCTGAAGGAAGAGCACACCAATTAAATCTGAGGCAGGAGCGACCAGAAATGAACTGTTTGCATTGAGTTGCTGGCATATACTAGCTTGTAATAGTTGTTGCTTGCTCTCTCTCTCTCTAGTTCAATTATGCTTTCCCTATCCTAGCAGCAGTTTGTTCTCTTATTCTTTTGCACTCTACAACCAGCTCAATAACCTTGGATCCAACATTAGATCATGGATGCCATCAGCCTTTCAAACACACACAGTGACCTGCTGTAGCCAGGAGCTCTTCGTGAAGGAAAGGCATTTCAGCAACTGCCTCCAAGATCTCCTATCCATTACTGATATCCCAGTACCTCAGAACTTACATTACTGCTTTAATATTTGTGACAGGCAATTGTTCCTCAACCTGTCTTAATTAGAACTAAACAGTGCCACAAGTTAACAGTTTAAAAATCAGGGCACCACAATATGGTTGGGATTTTTCTCAGCAACTAAAAGAATGATTTCGCAGAATAGCTTAACTTGAAATAACACAAAGTGTCAGCAAGCCATCTGTTCTAACCTCTGTGTTAAAGTTAACAGCTATTTTGGATTTCAACAAAGGAAGTCAGCTATAGCTATTAATGCTGGTTTGTTTTGGTTTTCCCCCCCCCCATGGAGTCTAAGCACCCACTATTTTTATTAAATGGAACAGGAACAACAGTAACTGGAGATCCCTGAAGAAGGGGCAGAAAAAAAAATCTGGGACACAAACAGCACTGTGTTGCATTGCAATGCCAGTTACTTATCTCCTCATGCATAAGTCAAGTCGGACCTTCCCCAGTTTGTCAGAACCTGCCACACAAGGAAGGCAGACGTCACCATGAATACACGCAGTGACTGACTGCAGATTGAGGACATGCTGAACCATCTGACACACTGCCAGCAGCCCCCAGCACATCTGGGTCTCTAGTATATTTTTGGGATGAAGTATCAGTTAGCCTGTCTGTGCTCAAGATTAAATCTAGGGATGGATACAATCCTTTTTAAAGACATAAGTTTAACATTGAGGCTTAGAAGGGAAAGGCAGTATTAAGTAATTTATTCAAAAGGTAAAAAAGAAGTTATAGTATTTTCTACTTCTAGTTAAAAAGACCACGAGTTTTCTAAGTGGGTCTTTATTTTTTCTCATGGGAGCTTTAGCTCATTCTCATTAACTAACTTAAATCTTTTCTTCCCCCACATCATCCCTTTCATGAAGGGGCAGTCTCCCAAACCAGAGGTTGACAGTAGCTTTGATCCTAGTCTGATTCAAGGATTTATTTCCAGCATCAATGGGGCTGAAGTCTCATGAGACATTTGTCTTCTGGCATCAGATGATATCAAGTACTTGCTACTAGGCAAACCTTGAGATTTTCACCAAAAGGCCACACTCTGAAGTTTTGATGCTAACCAAAGATATTTTTTATCTCAGTCTCACGTAAATCTCTTCCTTTTAATCTCAGAACCTAGAAAGAAAGCATTTTACATCCAGCATATTTGAACAGAGAATACAGACTAGTCAATGCTCTGTCTGGCCCTGTATTTCTTGCTTGTACTCCATTAGGGACTGAAAGACATGCTGTCACTGCAAAGGACAGCTGTCTTCACCTCAGGATATATGGATCCAAACTTTTGGGTCAGAACAGTGTCCAATGAAGCAACAAGGGTGCCAGTACAAGTATGTTTAGCATGACTCCAGTGATGATACCTGCATGGTCTAAAGCAGTCATCCTACAAACTAGAATTATAAGAGCTCAGTTATATGCAATGCAGTAGTTTCCACAGCTTAAAATACGAGTAGTAAAAAATAAAAATATCACAAAGGGCACATTTCACATATATCAAATCACGACACTAACTGAACTTCTGCCAAACCAAATTACCATGCTATGAAGAACAAGCAGCATCTATTATCACGACCAACAGAATGAAAGGGCAGCAGCAATGTCTTCTCCATCTATTATTACCAGGGGAAATATTCACAGCAATATACATACACCTTCCTCACGAGACATCTATATTATTTCTGTCAACCATAAATCTGACTCCTTTATTTCAAAGGAAATATGAATTCCCAGATTAACAGGTCACCAACTCAATTCTTTTCCAAACCAGTATTAAAACAGTAATTTCAGTTCTGTGTTAAAAAGGATATTACTATAAAGTAATGATATGAAGAAATAAGCCATTAAAGGCAGACAAATTAAATGAAAATGGATGCTGAAATAGCATCACACCATGAAGCTTATGGTCCAAAACCTCATCTTAGATATGCTTATGAATAAGAATCTTCAATAAAACCTAGGAGTTCTTTACAGAGGTACCTAACAGTGATTTTTAAACATTTTACAGGGTCTACCTATTTCTAGAGGTAGACAGCTTTTATCTGCATATTTATCAGAAACACAACTGAACTTTTTCTGGGCTCCAGTGCTAGCTCCACCTTCCTCCCTCATCCCAAGCTGCTTCCTCAGACAGGTTTCTGCCTGCCCCATTGCACAAATTTCAGCACACTACTCCTCAGCATTTATTTTCAACAGCAAAATGAGGGAATTAAACACTACTGAAAAAAGCAAAGACAAGCAGCCTTAGGCCAGGCAAACTGTCGATTCAATTGACAGCAATCATCACATCCTATTCTCAGATGCAAATGCTGAATTTCACATCCCAGCTCTTCATAATCATTAACCTTTTTTTTTGCAATGCCTTGCTGCTCTACTGCACAGTCAACTTGGCTGTCGAGGCCTGCAGAGAGATATGTTATAATGGCTCTCCTGGCAAACCAGTGGTGCAGCTCTCCACACCAGCCAGTCCACGGAGATCTCCGTGCTGTGCACTGCTACTGCACGCCACGCCGTGTCATTTCACCACTCTCTTGGTATTCGCTCTGCCCAAAAGCCACGCCAGGAGGGTTAAGGTCACGGACGACTGCACAGAACACCTTGCAGCCAGGGGGAATCCCAGTCCCATTCCCAGAACCCTTCTGCACAGCGCAGGGCAGGTCACCTGCAGCGCCCTGACCAGCGGCTTTCCTCACCCGAGAGTGGGGACGAGGAGCCACCCGCGCACCGGAGCATAGCCACAGACGGGGGCCTGGGCACCCCATACTGTCTGCTTCTCGCGGCGGACCCGGCCCTGCCGGGCTTGGGGCACCGCCGCAGCCCCCCCCGGGGAGGGGATGGCTGTGACTAAGCACACGCGGCCTCTCCTCGCCCTCCCACTCGCGTGGGCACCAGCGGCCGGACGGGGGGGCCGCTCCCGGGAAGGGACTGGGCAGGAGGCACCTGCCGTCTCCCGCCCCCGGGGCCGGGCAGCAGCCCAGGCCGGCAGCCGGGCCCGCGGGGCTTTCCGTCCCACGGCTGCGCCGCGACCTGAACCCGAGGGCCGCGCTCCGGGCACCCCGCACGGGCACCCCAATGGCCGCCCAGGCTCGCCGCCCCCGGCCCCGGCAGCCTGCCCTCCTCGTACCGCTGCCATCCTTGAAGGGAGGGGGTGGGACATCTCGTAGCGACCGGGTCCAGCCCCCCTTCTCCGCTTCCTCCTCCTCCTCCATGGGGCCGGGGCCGCCCGGGACGGCGCTGCCGCCGCAGACCTGCCGCTGACGCCGCCGCTCCGCCGGGGTGGCCGCCGCCCGGTGAGAGCGGCGCCGGGCCGCCCTGCCCCGCGGGCTTGGCGCCCCCGGGCACCCCTCGTCCTCCTCGTCGTCCTCCTCGTCCTGGGAAGAGGCGGCGGAGCGGGAGTCGGCCGAGGTGCTGTAGAAGGGGTTCCCGCTGCTATCCTGGCCCGACTCCCCGAAGACGTCGTCGGAGATCTGCAGGCTCTCGTAGCGGGATCGGGCCGCCTCCAGCAGCGACAGCGCCTTCCTGCGCGCCGGCCCGCCGCCGCCCTCCGCCATCATCTCGGCCGCTGCCAGCAGCCGCCCGCGCTCCCCTCGGCCCGGCTCGGTCGGGTCCTGCGGCCGCAGGCAGCAGCCCAGCAGCAGGAGCGGCTCGGGCACGGCGGCGGGCAGGCAGCGAGTCGGGGAAGCCCCGCCGCCGGGGCTCAGCCCTGCCTCCCGCTCCCGCCCGCACCACCCGCCCCTGTGTGTGTGCAGGGACATGGGGGGAAGGAGCCAGCTCAACATCTCCAAGTACCACATCCAGCCAATTGCCGCGGCACTCCGCGCTCGGGAGGTGGGGTTATATGGGCGCCGCGGGCGAGCGCGGGCCGCCCACCGCCCGCCCCGCCGCCTGCCGCCGCTCCGCCCATTTAAAACCACAGCGCCGGCTGCCGCGGGGCCGCCGCTGTGCCCCGCCGCCGGGAGGAGGGTGTACTCCCGCTCCCGCTCCCGCTCCCGCTCCCGCTCCCGCTCCCGCTCCC